TACATTGTGGGAACCAAACTAGCATGTGGTCCCCACGAGGGAAAAAAATTATTAAAAATAGTAAATGATGTTTAGCTGAAAGACATCAGGTTTTCTGTAAGGGGGGTAGGGATAGGGGATAGAAAATATTGTTTGGTCAGTATTAAAACAACAGAAGTCTATGGACTAATGTGCAATTTGAAATGTTTTACTTTACATGTAATGAATCTAGAATATATGAAAGTTTCACTTTTTGAAATAAGTTACCAAAAAAATTCATTTTTTTCACGATATCTTTTGAGATGCACCTGTATGCATGTATGTGTATATATATATATATATATATATAAAAGTGTGTGTGTGTGTGTGTGTGTGGAGGGGGGGCCCATCCCAAAAAAAGGAAATTACATTTACTTGTGCAATTTTTTTATCATGTAATTAATTTTAATATATATAGTATACATTATTTTATATTATAGAAAATGAAACCCTTTATATTGCAACCTTCTTTTTATTATAATTAGCAAACTTTCATCTCTAAATGTTCATTACAATAATGGAACAAAAAGTCATTTTCATTACTGTAATGTAAATAAAAAAATATTAAGTATTTATGCACCATGGTTAAACTTTTTTCTGAATGTAATTTAATCTAATTTTAAAAGATAAAGTATTTAATGTTTTGTTACAGTCATGCGAATCTAATGTAAATCACCATTGAGAAAAATGGGTATTACAAAGAAACTCAAAAGTATTGCATTACAGTAATGAGAATAAAAAGTCACATTATTTTTATTGCTTATTTATATATTATTTATTGTAATAAATTTAACTATATTAAAACAATATTAAAAATACCTAATTTTACATGCTTCTGCGAGATTCACCTCATTGAACCCTCTGCTAAGTATCCACACTCAGTTAAGGAAAATAAATAAATAAATAAAACACAAAAGCAAAATGTCCTTCAGACAGAATCCCATCACTGTATGCTGTGAAAGACATCGCGCAATCTGTGTATGTGTGTGTCTGTCCGCTGGTAAAGTGTGTCCTCACTTCCCCTTCGACACGCTCCCAGCACCTCATCTCTCGTTTCCTCCCGTCTCTCTCGCCCTCACCGGCTGAATCACATATGCAGGAAAATATCAAATCATTCCGTCCGTCACAGGGTTGAGAGAGGCCTGAACTCCATTAATAAGGCATGTACATCTCTAAACACACAAAAACACACACTCTCTCACAAAACACTGACAGCAGAAGACAGAAAGAAAACCCGAGGAAGATGCACTAAAAGAAGAGAAGGTATTAGAACAGGTGTTTGAGAATGAGACGTGTGCGTTTATACAGTGGCAAAGTGTCTAGATTGTTCCTTTCCATGCAAACAAATGGACTCCTACAAGCAGTTGATATGACTTGCTATGTGCACTATTCTTCTAAAGTCATATGATGCTTTATTTGAGGAACAGACTGAACTTTAAATCATTAATCGCTGCAAATCTTTCCCACCTCATTTGCATATTCAAATATGGCATTGGACCCAGGTTGGATGTAAGTGATGTCAAACAATGTTGGTTCTCACAGGTTTCTTGACTTAATGAAATGTGTTTGAATGTACAAAAGCACAAATTATATTTGAGAGCTGCTGCGTGGGTGGAAATGTTCAACAAATAATATGTTAAATATGGGTCTGTTTCTAACACAAAACTATTATTTGACTTCAGAAGACTTGGGGCCAGATTTACTAACAGATTTACTAAACCCTCTTTTGGCATTAAAAAATACTGTCAGGATTTACTAAAGACGCACAGTGAAATTTTTTTTACTGAAAAGTCATTTTTGCAACTGACCTTATTGCATATGCATTTGTAGAGTTTCCCTTTCAGACGCAAAATTAATGGGAGAGTATTTTTAAGAATTACACAACATGACTACGGTTTGTGGCAGTCAATTTACTGGTATTTGCACCATTATTTACATTATTTTTGTTGCGCTCTTGCACTGACTTGCCTTGTTTAGTTAATCTGGCTCTTGGAATAATAAGTACGGGTCATATGGATGGATGTTATGATGCTTTTATGTAATTTTTTAAATCTTGACTGTAGTCACTGTCTGCTTTCATTGTATTGTGTTGTTTCACTGTATCGTTTTATAGTATCAGTGTTATGTTGATTTGTTGTATCATTGTGTTGTTTCTTCGTTGCGTTTTCTGCATCAGTGTCCTGTTGTTTCTTTGTTTCTTTTCGTTGTCTCATTGTTCCAATACAGCAATACATGTGTTGTATCAACGTTCCATTATCATTTTGTTGTGCCATTGTTAAGTTGATTCATTGTAATGTTTTGCTTCATTGTAGCGTTATGTTGATTTGTTGTATCATTTTGTTGTGTCTTTGTTGCATCACTGTGCCCGTTGTTTCATTGTATTGTTTTGTTTCATCACTTTGTTTCGTTGTGTTATTGTTCCGTTGCTTTGTTTCATTTTGTTGTTTCATTGTATCGTTTTGTTTCATTGTTTCATTATAGCAAAACAATTATACAACAATCAGTGTTCTGTTGTTTCATTGTATTGCTTTTTTCTTGTTTTATTGTAGCAATTTGGCATACTTTGGCAACTGTAACAATTTGTACTGTTTTGTTGTCATTGTTTCGTTGTATTATTGTTTCATTGTATTGTTTTGACAGTTTTTCTGTATCATTGTTTCACTGTATCATACCCATTCATTGTGTCATCCTATTGTGGTTTTGTTGTATCAGTGCCTTCTTGTTTTATCATTGTAAACATTTTTGTGAAGGAAAGTGACACAGGTTTAGCACAACAAGAGGGGAAATAAAAGATGACAGATGTTTCATATTAATAAACGGTTCCTTTAAATAAGAGGTATTTATTTTGTTAACAACAGTGATTAGAGCTGTAAATCGACCGTGTGTGTGTGTGTGTGTGTGTGTGTATTGAAGGCCAGTTGGCATGGCTGCGCTCCAGACGAACAGCAGGTTGGCATCAAACTTCCCTGATGAACACACACACAGACATGTGAAGGTCAGAGGGAGTGATGGAGTGTTTGACCTCTGTTAAACCCACCTGTGTGTTTCAGCTCACACACACACACACACACACACACACACACTAAATGTTAGTTCTATATGGCTGATGCTTGAAACTGAATTTGCACTGTAATAGATGGCTGAGGAAAGGTGTGTGTTTAATGTTTCCTGATGGAGATGAATGTCTCACAAGTTCTCGTAATGATCTCCGCACACGCACTATTCCTCCTCACCCTCCTACTTCCTGCTGGAGGAGCCGCATTACCTGCGTGAGAGGAAGAGATGGCAGAGCGCAAGACAGTGTTTCTCCTCTTCCTCCATTTGTCAGGAAGTGTTTACACTGAGCTATTGCTCAAAGTCGACGCTGTGTGTGTGAGATGATAAAGCATTTGCCAGAAGGCTGCTGCATTGTTTCTCCTGTGTGTTTGCCAGAGTAAAGCTCTCCTCTCCTCCATCAGATTCTCTCGCTTCCTTTCATGCCATCTGACTGAATCTGCTCGGTCTTTCTTTCCTGGAAAGGAAAAGCGAAACAAAAGAACATGAATATAGAAGATGAGAGATTGTGTTTGTGTTTGAGAGAGACGTAAACACATATCAGAGATCAGATAAGCTGGAGGCTCTAGTTTCTCATACTAAATGAAGTCTTTCTCTGTCTTTCAGGGCTGGACAGCACTAAAGACCCGTGTCTGAAGGTTCACTGCCCTCCTCACAAAGTGTGTGTGAGCCACGACTTCCAGACGGCCATCTGCGCCAATCATAAACCAGCCCAGCACAGGTAAGACCCACAGTCACACGTCAGGAAGGAAGAAACGTTTGTCAAGGCAAATGCTGATTAGCTTACTGAGTGGTTGCTAAGGTGTATTGGGTGGTTGCTAGGGCAAGGGTTTTCAATCTTTTAGATGCCACAGACCACCATATACGATCATCCACATGCAAAAGACCCCCATGCTAAAATGTGAAAGTCTGCCTTTTTTAATGTATAAAGACCTAATTTATACTGTTAAAAAAATAGTACTATAAATATGTGCAAAATATTATTTGGGAAATATTTAGTTTTTAATATGTTACATTAGTAAAAATTAAATTAGTAAAAAAAAAAAGTTAGGCGTATTTATTTATATTTAAATATTTTAATTTATTCATTAATTTTTTCATATAATTGTTTAAATTATTTTAGTTAAATTATTTATTTAGTTATGTTTTATTTTATTTATATATTCATCCTTATGCATGGGACCCCATCCTAAAATTTAAAAGGCAGCCATATTTTAATGCATTATAAAAAATATCTGAATATGTGTAAAATATTATTTGGAAAATATTTAGTTTCTAATATGTTGAATTATTAATTTTTTCCCCTACTCACTCTAGTACTGTAGTGTTAGTATTTTTTTTTTTTTTTTCATTTATTTTAATAAAATTATTATTATAAAATCAAATAATTTTTTATTTTATTTTATTTCATGTCATGCAAGGGACTCAGGCAGCCATACATTTATTCATAAAGACCAAATTTATACTGTAAAAAAAATATTATCAATGTGTAAAATATTATTGCAAAATATTTAGCTTCTGTAGTAGTATCACTGTATAATATTCTATAGAGCACAGTGCTAGCTTTGGTTTTTCTTAGTGTTAAGTTTTTTTATTTAAATAATTAATTTATTAATTGAATATGTTCATAAATGCATGCATTTTCAAATTATTCAAATAATATTTATTCATTTAAATCATTTTAATTTATTTTAACCAAATTATTAATTTTATTTTATTTATTGAGTTTTTCCCCCAGACCCCAGTTTGAAAACCCTTGTGCTTGGATAATGCTGACCAGTTGTTTGATGTGGCTAATGCATCTATTACCAGCAGTGACTAAGTAGCCAAACCCTAAAACTTTGGAAGCTCTGATTGGCTAGTTTTCTGGTGCTTCTAGCAAACCTTCAGCAGTTATTCCATAACCATAATTACAAATAATTTCCAGGCACTAGATGAATGAGTGTGTGTCCTTGTGTTTAATCGGGCTTTGAGGTATCTCCGCTTCTCCAGACTCACATTAACATTCTGTCGCTGTCTATTGTGAGTTGTCGTCATAGCGACAGCGGACCGTTGAGGGAATGTCATTCCGGGCTCTTGACTCCGCCCCCCTCATGTCCGGACAAACAAATATTAATTGTGTAATGGACATTCGAGCAGGTCTAAGAGTTTACCAAGCTAAATTACTACCACCCCCTTACATATGCAAACACAAAGTGCATGCTGGCATGGCAAACATCACGTCTGCCTGAGAAATAACAGCACGCTTATCCGATTAGAATGCCAAGCGCAGGTGATAATGCTGAATTGGTCAAGCTATCATTAATGACCAGCACATGAGGTGTAGCTGCCGCTCTGATCATTCATTTACACCTTAAAACACTGTAGTACATAATGCATGAATGTATGAAGAGCGCTGCTAGATTAAGCACAACAAAATAACACGTTAATAAATCATAAATAGATCCGCATGGAATCTGCACACTTTTTTCACAGTTTCTGCACTAATTATTGGGGAGAATCTGGCAAATGGATCTACATATGCTGTGAAAAGGAGCTGATGTTGCTAGTGTTAAAGCACATGTTCAATAAACAAGCACTTAATGTCTAAAACCTGTTTGATTTCTCTGGATGCAGTTTTTATGCGTGACTAGGTTCTTTTCCAAAATTTAGTGCACTACTTAGGCAGAATCCTAACTGAAATGAACCTTCATAATTGCCTGATTTGTAGCAGTATATGCAACATATGATGCTACTGTAGTTCTGGGTCAAAACAAGGTATTATCCAGGAAAACAATAAGCATAATATTGTTGCTTACTTTTTGATGCAGCTTTGGATCTGGAACTGTCTAGATAGGCAGCTCACTAGGTTTTAGAACGGAAATTTAAGTTAAATTCAATTCAAGTGTAATTATGAAGAGAGACTCATACTGGTTGTATAAATACTCTATTGCCTCAGTAAGACTGATTTGGGACAAGATTCAACACAGCAGTGAAATTTCCAAATACATTTTTTTTCAGATTGAATTATTTTGTGCTCTTGCTCTCTCTCTCGTCATTTTATTTTTTTCTGGAATTTTTATTGGCAAAATTAAATTTTAGTAACCAAAGAACATATAATTAATTAAAATAATGGAACTAATATGATTTAACAACAATTTATTATTATTTTTTTTATTAAGGCCCTATGTAATAAGTTTTTTTCCCCCCCAATTTCTGTTTTATTTTGTTAAATTTGTCTATTTTATTAACCATTACTGATGATATTTAAAGGGTTAAATTCAACTGAAGTGTAATTATAAAGATTTATTATCATGTATGGACAGACGGTATTTCCTCGGTAAGACTGATTTGAGAACAGATTCATCACTGCAGTGTAATTTCCTCAGTGCTGAGCTGATATTACAAATATACTTCAATATAACGCAATGAAGTGTGAATCACAGATTCATAATATAATGCACCGTAATGTGCTGTAATATAATCCATTAGACTGTATCCCGCTGCATTATCCAGCAGTTCAACATATATATAGACTGTAAAAGCGGCGGCTCAAGACGAGGACTTCATAGTGACCAGAGAAAGATTCTGCTCATTCTCACTCAGTAATGTCTGTGAATGTGGCAGACAGGCTGCTTCAGAAGGACTGGCAGTGAGTTGAGCTCATTACGCGGCTGTGATTGGTCACCCGCAGCATTCGGCCCGCCAATATTTTTGTATAATGATGCTAAACTGTAGCTGCTAAATTGACCATTGTCCCCCTCAAATGAATTCCTAAAGAGCTGTGCGAGTTTCCAGTCGTGTCACTCCACGCTCTCTTTCCCCTCTCGTAATAAAATAATTTCAACTCGAATCAATAATTCATGTCTGCTTATTTATGTGGTAAGCACTCGTGTAATAAGTGAGGAAATGTGCAGTCAGCTAGTCATTAGCACAACATAAAGCCTTTCAAGGTTATATGAGAAAACTCAGATTATATATAATGAACTTCTTCATATATGATAAATCAGTGGCGTGCACAGACCTCCGGAGGGGCAGGGGCGAAATGGCGTTACGAGGGCACAATCGCGGTCCGATTGTCTTTGTTATTAAAAAATTAGAACAAAGATACACATTACAAATACACAAAATTTGCAAATAAAATAAACTGTGTTTTATTTTCAGGTAGGCTGCAATAGGTGTAATTAGCAGGATCATTCAAAAAAATGTAATGAACAAATATAAAAATAAAACAAACTGTGCTACAATAATATGTGAGCAGCATGCATGTACGTGATTGTGTTTTTGAGAAAAAAACGTTTATGCATGCTTAGTGAAAAACTACAATTTTAAAGTCTCTTTCAAATGAAAGTAACATCTGTAAAATAGTGAATGCACACTTACTCTAAGATTCTGAATGGAGTTGAAAACTGAACGAGCGCCCCCACTGTGAGAGATGCAGGTGAAGGCAAGAGTGGTGTATACAGTCCTAAAATACCTTTATAAACAATTGTAAGCATTTTTTCCCCACAGTACCTTAGTATAGTATGCATACTTCATGAGAAAACAGAATGCCAATAACAAAGAAACTACATTTTAACACTATCAACCACAAATAATATTACCATATAGTCTAGGCATAATAAAAGTACAATTACTATACTGTGCACTTACTCAGTATGATTTTCCAGCGAACTCAAAACTGAACGACACGTGTGCCTTTCTTGTGCAATTATGCGATTGATGCAGCCACAGTCCTAAACGAAAACTGAAACAGTTGTTAGCAATTACCAGAAGATGCATAGCTGATAAGTAAATTGCATCACTGAAAAGAAAGGAAGCGCGTATATGTCTGTCGATGCATCACTTATTTACAGCTTACATGATACATTTACACATCAGACGATCGCAAACGCCAATGACTGAGTATAAAACATTCAACATATTAACATTATAACTCACATTACTTTTATATCGTTGCGGTCTATTTTATAGAACATAAAAAAACTTCCTGGCGTTGAGAGACATATATGCAGTGAATGAATCTTCATAATGTTTCACTTGATTATACATTTAGTCAGGAATCATGGTTTGGAAAGAGGAACTAGTAAAATAAGTACAAGTTATGTCACAGTAACACAATAGCAACTAATGCAAGTAGGCAAATAAAAAAGACTTACTATATCCTCCATTGAATATCACGCCGGCACGTTCTTCTCAGGAAAATCCAAAGCTTATTTCTCTCAGCGCCTCTTTCTGTCTTATTTCTCTCAGCGCGTCTTCTTCCTGAAGCGAAGTAGCCGAGATGAACTTTAGGAAAAGTCTCGCTGCTTTGTTTGCTGTGATGTGGGCGTTTACATGCGCGCGTCTCACATGGACTATTGTAATATCAAAAGCGCGATCGGTCACATTAGCGATTATGAAGGCGACGGCCAAGACTGATTCATACTGATTACTTTGTCACATCATATTTGTTTTCGTCATGACTTACTTAGTTTAAAAGTAGACATGTTAAGCTTTCTATAGATATATCTCTACTGTGTGTGGGTCAAATATTCGCTGAGTTTCAGTTCACTTTAGTGACGCGTTTCAAACAGATATGCACAGAGAATGAGACGGCTAAAAGCACACCCTATTTATTTTCTTTATTTTGCAAAAGCACAATGTTTTGTTGATAGTGTGAGTGTACACAAATAAAAGTAGACCCTTTACAGATTTAAATGCTGTATT